GAAGATCCCTGCCCGCCCGCCTCCCCCCACCCCCAAGCAGCCCAGGGGCAGCAGACAGCCCGCAGGCAGGTGGAGGCTCGGTGCTATTGTCTACTCTGGAAAAGGCCTCTCATTCAAACCGGAGTGAAAGAGCCTCTTCCAGCTGCCTCCATGATGAGCATATTTACTCCCCTACCCCGAGTTCTAGCTGCTAGAGAACTACAATTATAACCCCTTCCTGTGCCCTCCGCTCCTGGCCTGAGACAGTTCCACATGCCCGGACTATGTACCGGGGACCATGCTACTTCTCTGTCTCTGGACCTCAGTTTCCTCATTTGTAAAATGTTTGGGTTAGATTGGTGACCTCTAAGACCTTTTTTCAGCTCTCTCAAATCTGAAATTTTGTGAGCACTTGGGTATTTGGATTCTAATATCCTGTGCTGTTATTAACTATCTATGACCTTTGAACATATAGTCTCTGCTCTCCATGCCTCTCTTGCAAAGGACTCACTCACACACAGGGTGACTTTGAGGCCCAGAGGAACTAACACATATTTTTAGATCATCCATGGTGATTGAAAAGCCATCCTGTGATTGAAAAGCTGTTGTAAAAGTAGAAGGTGGTGTTTTCCATTTTGAGCACAACACCTGGTGGTTGTGCCCTTGGTCCATTTGTCTCTGTTTTTCTCAGCGCTTACCTCCTGGTCACGGCCCCTCAGCCTTCCCCAGGGAGCTGATGTTTGTCCCTCTCTCTGCTCATCTGTCACTCAGCTGCTTTGCTGGGAGTGCTGGTCTCCCATGTTCTTCCAGGTGTCCAGGAGTTGGGCCCATGTTGAAGATTAGCAGGCTTACTATAATTTCAGATTTATCTTAATTCAAACAGAATTTGACCTGAAATATACCACTGGGGTGTTTATGTAAAGGGCTTCTTGCCAAAAATATTAAAAATATATGAGCCAGAGATAAAACTTATCTAACACATTGTTTCAAAGTACCTATGGGGGTGCCAGGGACACTCAGCAGTACAGTTTCAACATCAGAGAAAGTAACTTGACTTAGGTTGATGAGCGAACACTTTTGTCCCTTAAGGAAGACCCATTCGTTGACTCTTCAGCCTTCCTGGTATGCTCCAGAGTATGTGGTTTGTATCTGTGTTTTTGGGCCCAGAACCACCCTGAATTTTCAGAACTACAGGTATTAGAAATGGCCAACTGTCTCATCAGTTCCTCTTGGCCTGAGTTTCTCTCATCGATGTATGTCTGAGAGTTGATCAATTTGAGGCCCTCAGGGGAAACAAAGGATGTTACTTACTAATTTAAAAGAATAAGTTTTCAAGGGCAGGAAGCTAAGCCAAGTTGAATTTATGTCTCGGTTGGCGTGTGTAAACTTCTGATGCTTTAGAATTTATATCCTGATTGCTTTTCTGTGTGAAGATTTGCTTCTCTCTATGAGAGTAATAGAACAGTTTCTATATGAAAACAAACTTCTCCTTCCTCCACTCAAACTTTTTCAAACTTTTTGCTGATTTCAGATTGCCCTTTCCCCTGAGGCTGCTCAGAATAGGATGTTCTTTCGTCCCTATCAGATAATCTAGCTCTGGCCTTTTTGAGTATACAATTAGTTTGCTAAAAAATAACACAGTGATAATAAAAATAAATAGCTAAGGTTAACTGGGCATTTACCCTGTGAGCTAAGTGCTTTATTTACATTATTTGATTTCATTCTCCTAGCAACTGAAGCTGGTATCATTATCATTATCTTCCCTTATTTATTTATTTATTTTACCTTCCCGTTTTAAATAGATGCAGTTTGAGGCTTAGTTTGAGTCAGAAGCTTTCCAAGGCTGCAGGAGTTAAGTGGTGGAGCTGGAAGTTAAAAAAGGCTGGCTACAGTCTGTCCCCGTGTAACTTTTTTCTTTTTTTGCAAGAAGACATCTTGAAAACTCCCCAGAAAAGCTTTCAAACAATTTCTCAGTTTAGCATCACGGGCCGAAAGCAGAAAGATTTTGCTCCGCCACTTCCCACAGTCCCTGCCCTCAGACCCTGCCTGGGTCTTATGCACCTTCTTTCGCTCACAGCTGTCCTGCCACTGTAGCACCCCTCGGGTAGGGGTGCCCAACACTGTGTACCCCAAGCCTCTGAGGAACATGGCAAGGATTCCTCATTTGATTTCAGTTTTGCAAGGAGCTTCCTATCTCAGGATTTTGTAATCTGGGATTTGTTCTTTGGAACCTGGACTGAGAAATTGCTGAGGGCCCTGAGGAGAAAGGAGCTGTGTTGCCGGTGGGCCAGCGGGGGTCTGGGAGGCAGTGTCCACAGGTCCTCCTCAGGGATACAGTGGGTGCACTCAGTGAGAATGTGGCCCTTGGGATCTCCAAGATTGTAGCCCCTGAAACTAACTCTTACATTTAGTTCTATCCCTAGAAGCCTTGGCTGGGGGTCTGTGCATGCCCCAGAGGAGGGCACTTTCAAATCAGCTTATCCCCTGCAGCCTGCTTCACTGCAATGCCAGAATCCCCAGCAGTGTAGCCCTAGGGCAGAGGAGGGCACAGCCTCAGGTGCTAGACTTGGAGGGCACAGCCCTCAGGGAGTAAGAGGCCTGCTTCACTGTGGGAACCAAGGGGCCTGGGAATGAGTCAGCCTCGCTGCCCAGCTCCTCGGACAGGTTTTCCCAGAGGTGATTATTGGCCAAGGAGGAGAAAGCAGCCAGCCAGATCCCATTAAAATGCTGCCACAGGTGAGGCATTGTCTCTAGGAAATATCCCCTGCAGAGCTGATGGAATCTGAAGGGGTCAACTCCAAGTTTCCAGCAGTGCTTCCTACCCAAGCCTGTGGAGGTTACTAGAGGAATGTGGCCCATAAGGAGCCCAGCTTGCCAGATGTTCCTGACACAGCTGGCAGTGATCATCCCTGCAGCCACTCTGCGTCCAGCCTTCTCCCTGTGCCAGGCACTGGGCTTCCTCACCAGGGCCCTTCGGATTTGATGCTGTTAGCCCCATATAATGGATGGTACTCAAAGAGCTAAGTGAAGTGTCTGGTTTGTATCTAATGGGACCAGGATCCAAACCTGGGCCTGTCTGGATTCTTTTCTATTCCACGATTAGGCCTCCTCAGAAGGGAGCACTGACCCAGCCTGAGATACTAATCTCAGGTGAGCATCTGAGCTAGCAGCCATGGCCATGAGAGGAAGTGGGAGTGGGATGTGGATGTGGTGCCAGACAAAGGCATCGAATGCAGTTGCCTTGCATAGATGGGAGAAAGAATATCTCATTAATGCAGCAGTCACCCCCTGGTAGGAACAGGGGCCTCCCTCTTGTCTTAGCCTGATTCCTGCGGGTAGGTCCATAGTGACACAACTTGTTTTGGGGAGCATTATGGTGCTTGGTAATCACACAAGTGCAGGAGCCTTTCTGTAGCGTTTCTGCATCACTGATAACTCTGGGATTTCACCCATGGCATTAGATCTCTTCTCACTCTGTTCTTTTCCACGCCTTACTACTCAATTCGTATGCTATTACTAGTTACTGTCCAGCCTCAGTTCCAATCCACCGTTGATTTCAAGAGGTGCATTTCTCTACACTTTGATATTTTTGCAGTTGGTACGCAGTTTTTAATTGGGATCTACATTTAATGCAGTGGGGCTGTTTAAATTGATGTTGCATTTTTGGAACTGACAAGAGAACATAAGTTGAAAAAATACGATAATTCATGCTTCTATTCAATCCATTTATCACCTACCATAAATGTCAGGCGTTGTGCTAGATGCCGGGAGTGTAGAGATAACTAGGATGCACAGTCTTGGGGGGTGGGGGAGCAGCTGGACTAGACAGATTGGCAGCTAGAGCTCATTGTGGGAAGGGCTGTGAATTTGGAGAACCCAAGGTGTGCAGAGTGTCAGAGGAAGGACGGTCAGTAAGGAGGCAGAGGAGGCTGGGACTGCCTAGAGGAGAAGGTGTATCAGGAGGAGGGCATGAGTACAGAGGGTTAGGCATGGTTCGGGGAGTGGTATTATTCCAGGCAAATACAGTAGCTGAAGCAAACGAAGGTTGAGAATCATGAGAAACATGGGTATATTTTTGGAAGCATCCAAGGGTTCACTGTGGCCAGAGTGGAGGGTGTGTGTGGAGACAAGGGTTAAAATGAGGCTGTGGAACAGGAGCAGATCATGGAGGACCAGGGGTGCTGTGCACATGAGTGAGACCTCTACACTGAATTCAAAGGCGGATCCCTGAGGGGCTTTAAGCAGGGAAGTATGCCTCGATGTGTGTGTAGGAACTCAGTACAGAAAGCAGGTGGAAAGAGGGAAGTGGCGTGCTGTGGAGGATATGCGTGGGGTTACAGCTATTGGAGAGGAAAAAGGGTTACCCTGAAGGATGCCAACAGTCTCATTTCCCTTCCCCTGCAGGCAGATCTGGTCATGGAGGCTTGGGGAAGATCACACAGCGATGCCATAGGGCGTCTGAAAATAGAAGCTATAGGCACACTTAACTTTGTTCTTGCCTTCAGCTCATGATGTGTGCCCTTGTCTCAGGAAGGCCACATGATCGTGGTCAGGCTGAGTTAGGAATGGATGCTGGGAAAAGCTAGACGAAGAAGAAAAGCTTACTACTTATCTCTACTTGTTAAAGAAGTGTCATATTAACTTATGTATATTTACCAAATTAATTCACTGATTAGAAATTTGGATGAGAATGTATGCCAGAACTTGGGAAAAAAATGTACCATCTCTGGAAAAACACAGTGGTCACTTCTCAGTGTGATATCAGATATTAAGTGTGAAGAGTCATAGGAAGATGCAGATAAATGGCTGTGGCTGTGCACAGGAATCATGCAGCACACACATAATCAGTTCTGTTGACTGACTGGTCCACCTGTAAGAGACACTCTGGAGACAGATGTGGGGGTGAGAGGTGGAAGGTGCAGCTTGCACTGTGTGTGCGATGCTTTGAGAGGTGTGGGAAATGGCTCCTGATGTTGTGACCCAAGACTTATGGTTTCCTCCCTTCCCATTTCCCCGAACAGGTGCAGTGCCATACTTACACGGGGTACTGCTGGTGCGTCACCCCAGATGGGAAGCCCATCAGTGGCTCTTCTGTGCAGAATAAAACTCCTGTATGTTCAGGTACCGTAGGGAGGGGCGGGAAGAATGAAAAGGGTTGGAAGGAGACCCTTTGGTTGGTCTCCTATACCTTGTAGGGAAACCTTCAAAAGGTTGGTGGTGGTTATGAGCCCCTTTCCAGGTCAGGGAAGATTCTGCTGAAACACTCTCAGTAGTCAGTGGGGTAGTGGAGATCAGTATATGCCTGTGTGTATGTATTACATTTATTGATTGTGAGTTTAGGTCTGGTTCAATGCTCTTTTCCTAAGCACTGGTTGTGATCCTGCAACCTAAATGGGCATATAAGTTATTGACTTGTGTGCTGATTCTGATTGCTAGTGGCTCTAGGTATACTTTACTGAGATGGATTTTGAGACGGCATGGAACTCCAGTGTCAAAGACTGGTGATCAATTAGTGATGTCTGCCATGGGTATAGGAGAGGAGAGTGGTGACTTGTTTGCCTCATATTTGCTTCCCTGGAAGAATGCAATGTAGAATAATAGAAAACTTTCATAAGAGGCTCTTAAATCTGGTGGGTCATTAGCAAAGCCTGGGGAATTAAAAAGAACCTGGGTTCCCTCTTGTGTATTCTGATCCAATGATCCGGAGTGAGACCTGAAGTTCTTATTTTTATGAAGCATCTCAGGTGGTTCTGATGATTAGACTGGTTAGGAAACCACTGGTTTATAGTGATCCATTGGGTTAGTCTATAGCTAAAGTTAAGTCCTTTCTATTCCCCACTTTGTAAGCATAGAGAAATTTTGCTCTTAGGTCAGTTTCATGGGCTTGTGGATTATGGATTTACATAGCCCCACACTGTCCACCTCTACTCAGACAGGGAGGGACTCTGAGTTGCTTTCTTAACTCACTAAGTGGCTCAGCCCTCTTCCAAAAACCCCATTTCACTCATCAGTGGATTCATATTTCTTTATATCTATGTGCATGCGGTTTTATTGAGTTACTTATTTTTCATTTTAACTGTAAAAAAAGCACAAAATGTTATGCTAGAATATATGGGAAATTTCTGAGTCTAGTGGTCTTGTTATTGTAACTTTTTCTCTTCCTAATTTTTTTCCACAAAATTTATTCATTTCTACTTGCCTTGCTATATAAAGAGGAAAGTAAGTGGAAAGAGCAGTAAGAAACTACATCAGGAAACCAAAATTTGCGGGCCCAAAAGGGAAGTTTACTTTATTGTGGTTTACATGGAAACTGGAAACCTTAATTGGGGTTGGGGTGGAGAGGGGCAGGAATTAGCAAATGACCTGGAAAGTCTCATTTAAAGCAAACAAATGCACTAGAAACAAGCCATGCAAGGTAATGCAATTGAATTCTCACAAAACTGGTATATGGAGAAGGAGCGTGATATGGATTAGGGAAATATAGATTCTTTCTTTTCTTTTGTTGGTGGACTCCACAGATGCCCCTCTGTGGATGTGCTGGCTATAGCCTGCATAGGTGGGGGCTGGGCTTCATGGAGAAGACAGGTGCCACAGGGCCAGCACAGGAGGATGCCAGGGTATGCAGGGCAAATGTTGAGCCAAACACACATACTGCCCCATCCTTGAGGAACAGGCTGTGTCTAGAAAATTGTTTCCATGCCTCAGACTATTTTGTCCCATTCAGTACAATTGGGCCAACAATTTTCTACTTAATGCAGATGGAAAATTGCTGATTTCCTGTCCTAACCAGCAAGGGATGTCAATCATTGCATTTGTAGTGCAGGGCTGGTGGTGGTGGTGGGGGGTCTTTTCAGTTGGCTCTGCTGTCTGGTTGTGGCTCAGAGCGTGGAGTTGATGAGAAGGTGGGGAGACGGGGCACGGAGGTGAGGGATACTTACTGGAAGGTTCAACAGGGGAGGTACGTGAATGTGGAATGTTATAAAAATCAGGTTAAGACTGCTGCAGGGAACCTGGAAATCATAGTTCATCTCAACAGTGCTGGGTTATCAGTGACATTGATGTTAAACAAACCCCACTCGACATGTGTGTAGGTCCTAACTTTGTATATAATATCCCTAGATGTGTATACAATGCATATATACATGACCATGTGTTCATAACATGAGGCTTTGCCAACTCTTTGAAAGAGTTTGCCAACCGCAATGCATTCTGAATGGTTATGTTTTTGTTTCCCTTCTCACCCAAGGTTCAGTCACCGACAAGCCCTTGAGCCAGGGTAACTCTGGAAGGAAAGGTGAGTGGAGTTTTATGCTTTATCTAAATGTTTGCTTCTCAAGCCAGTTTGAGCAGGAGTTCTTAGGAAAGGTAGAAGGAGCCTGGCTGGGGGGAACGCTCAAAGTGCCCCGCAGAAGGTCATCTCCCCCCTTAGTCTGTGTTTCCTTTCAGAAGCACCAGAGGGGAGTAAGGCTCACACGCTGATGGAGACCGTGCTCCCAGGGTTTCTTAGGGAGGGTGGTGAGCAGAGAGCCCAGAGCTGCAGGGAGCTTTAGAGAATGTGAGCCTCAGGCATCCTGGTTCCTGGGGGTGGCTCAGTCTATCAACACTGGTATAGCCAGAATTAAGCCAAAGAGGCATGGAAAACAGAGGGGCTTGCCTCCTTCCCTGGCTGTCTCATTCTGTGAGCTGCTGGAGCTGTTTTCCCCATGGATCTCCCTTCATCACTGCTCCTGTACTCCCAAGGTCTCTTCACTAAGGCTAGGTGGGGCATATCCCTGGTGTAGCTGTTGTCCTGAAATTCTGAATATCTATGTATTTGAGTCCCACAGGACAGTGAAGATGTGTACGAGCAGGGGAAATATATGTAATCAGAGTGTCCACTGCCAAGCCCTGTCACCCATTAGGATATACCTTTTGTGATGTAGAAGGCGCATAGCACACATAAAATTTTAACTTTTTTTTTTTTTTAACCTAGAACAACATTAAATAGCAAATTAAAAAACACCATGACAACATGAGGGAGAATAGAGACTATAGAAAAAGGATATTTCAGCACCTGTAATGAAAATTGTAGCATTTTCCCCTGCTTTTTGAACAAAGTCTCATGCATTTTCACTTCCCACTGGGCTATACACATATAGCCAACATTTGTCTGAGTGCTGCTTTGTGGACCAGCTGACACGAGCAGGTCTCTGGAATATGCTGATCATAATTTCCCACGTAGAAGACAGTTTGAGGCCTAAGATTCCCTGCTCCTGATCTCCAGGACAATATACACACACAGAGCGGGTGGTCGGGTACAAAGCAGCTATGCATTTCTTATCATGTGCAAGCACTCCAGGACGCCCATCTCAGGCTGGGTCTGAGGCTTCCCACCTGCACCAGTATAGCATTGGGAACTACAGGCTCACCAGAGTCCATGTGGACAGCTGGGCCTGCTGAGGGTCATCATGAAGGTCAAAGGCTGGTCCTAACATGTAGTTGCCCTGTCCTGGGTGCTTATGCCATGGGGATGGGAAGAAGAGGCAAAGATACCCCTTCTCAATGCAGGAGATAGGAATCTGGAGAGCTTGCTGCCCCAAATGCAGGTGCTTCAAGAAGATATGGAAGTGGAACATGGTGAGACCACCCACCAGAAAGCATGGACCAGTGGGCCAGATGGGCTGCTCCTCTTTCCCTGGGCAAAAATGAGTCAATGGGTGAAAAGGAGAGAGCAAGTAGCTTTTCAGGTCCTTCCCAGGGCAGGGAGGGGGACAGGCATGAGTGTTGATGGTTCCCTCCCAGGTGGGAAAATGGGGAGAGGGGTCTGCAAAGACTTGACCGTGAATGGTGCTTTTGTAGTGAGTTGGGAAAGAGAGTTGCTTTCAGTTTTGCTTGTGGCAGCTGAAATCTTCAGGAACATCACCTTTGTTCCTGGGTATGAGGTCCTTGTGATGAGAAAGAAAAGTTGGCAATCCATCTTGTGAAAGTGGCCACCCAGGTTTCCACTCCCCTGCTACATTCCTCCAAGGGGAGCTGAGTATATGATGCCAAATAAAGTCTGAATAAATGCTGAATTTTTTAAATAGCAAATTAAAAACCACCATGACAAGTTGAGGGAGAAAGAGACTATAGAAAAGAGGATAAAGCTTTATATTTAGCAGCATCTGGGGATTTGGGTTCTTAAACTGGACAGAGAAGTACCTCCAGGTTGATGCGGCTTTTCACCATGAGGGTAACAGTGAGAGGCCTGACTGGCCTAGCAGGAGGAAGGCAGAGGGGCTGGGATGTCAGCTTAATAAACAGCAGTGAGCATACTTTGCTCCTTCTCAGCCCTGGGGTCAGTGGCCAGAGCCTGATTCCTCCAAGAGCAATGCAGGAAAGGAGGGGTAGAACCCGACCCCTCGTCTTGGAGACATGAGTTGCTGTCAGTCCCCAGCTCTTTGCTCCCGTGCCCTGGCTGGGTTCCTTCCTCCCAGATGCTTCTTCAGAGGAGTCCTCTTTGGTGCACAGGTCAGGATGGGGCCAGACTCATTCTTCCCTAGAGTCCTGAATTCTACCTAGGGCCTCTTTTCCCCTCTGCTTTGGAGGATCTGATTAGGCCCTGGATCTCTTTGTCTGCTGTGGGTAGTGCAGTGAAGAGCAGTTTCGGGCCACCTGTAGGAAGGGCCACCTGAAGCCACACCTGTCCAGGAAGCCGAGGTTTGAATGGGAACAGGGTGCGAGAGGGCACTCCTAATATCCTGTGTCAACCCGCCAAGGTTCCTCTTTCAGCCGCCACTTAAGAGTGGAATGTGCTTTCTGGAGGGCAGCAGGTGGGAAGATACAAAGGCCCCTTGTCTGAGCTCATGCCTGCACGTGGGCCGTCCTCGAGGGCACTGTCTCCCTGAGGCTGCTGCAAAGAGATGCTGGGCCCGGACCGCTGTGCAGGGGAGGGGATGGCCAGAAGGGAGGTGAAGCCAGAGGTCTGGGGTAGGTTGGGGTGAGGGGCTCGGCAAGGACGGGACCCAGCCTTTTCTTTCCCTTCCCTCTTGCCTTCTGAATGTGTTCCACTGACAGGGCTGGGATGATGGGTTCTCTCTGCCTGGAAGGAATGAAAAGACGTATTGTGCGACCACAGAGACTCTGGTTGCCAGCCAGGAATTAGATTCTGAAAGAGAGCAGGAGAAAGGCAGAGCGAAAGGAGGCTGGGGGAGGAGGCCCAGAGAGACAGCAGGAGGAAGGCAGGAGGGAGGGAGGCCAGTCAGTAGCAGGTCACTGCGGGCTTGGCCCCAGTGGGAAGCCTGGGGTCCACAGGTGCAGGGCTGAGGGAAGAGGTGGGGGAGGGGGCGGAGGCTGTTATCTTACCCAGATGCACGTGCTTCAGCAGGGGAGGGAGGTCAGACTGTTTACTTAATCCCTTGGAATGTCCTCTCCTCACTCTGTTCTTTGGGCCCCTTGTGTTTAACTGACTCCTTTATGGGCACATGTGTGGTAATTAACACGTGCAGTGTGGGTCCTGGGCCATGTGTTTGAGTTTCAAATATCCATTGATCTGGGACAATCCCATCCTGGCTGCCCCCCTCCTCTCCTCCCCCTCTGGTCCTGGCCCTTGAAGAGAGATGTGAGGGGGTGTGTGTTGGGGGTGGCGCACACGTGCATTCACATGTGTTTTATTATTATCACACATGTTTTATTCCTGCCACAGAGGAATATCTGAGCAGAGGAAGAGGGCCCCACACAGCCCTTGCAGCCTCAAAAATCTGCTGCTAAAACAGCAGAAGGGTGCAGAGGTAGAGACAGAGGTTAAGTTCTGGTTTTCATTGAAGTGGTCCAAAGGAAAGTAGCTGGGAAGCCGTATGTATTTAGAGGTCAGGAACTTATCCTGAGCAGCCTTACTCAACTGTACCAAGGCCTGTGGATTTTACCAACATACCTCTTTTCGTTGTCTTGATGCTAATTACTGCAGGTGGTTTGAGGAGCTCTCAGGATGACTGAATCCAAAGTCAGGGGCTGGGCCCGACCTTCATTGCTTACGAGGTTCAAGGCGGGAAGTGCGGAGGCTCGGGTAGGATGAAGTGGGGGAGATGGTGGTGCAGAATGATTCACTGAGAGAAAATGGGAATGGGAAAGCACTGGTAAAATGGTTTCTGGCAGTTCTCTGGGAGCTTTTGTCTTCTGAGTGTCCAGAATCGCAGAGGCCCCAGGGTGATGCTATGATAAATGGCAGGTTTGAAAGCTGAAGATCCTCAGCAGTTTTCTGCCCTTTGCTTTTACCAAAAATGCAAACATTGATAAACTCTGCTTCCATTTTCTGCATGGGTGCCTGTATTTGTCAAGCCAGTTACAGAGAAGGGCAGAATGTCCAAAATCCAGCCCATCTTTAATTTGCAGAGACTTATTTTAAAAATTCTCCCACTGGCTGTTCCATAGATGTGCTCCAAGTAAAGAATGAGTCACATTTATTTCTCCAAGGTCCCTGTCTGTGTCTCTAATTTTAGACTCTCTCATGGAGCCAGGTGTACAGGTTGGCGCCAACTTGGAGACCTTGTCACTCAAGTGATGGGATCAAGCAGCCCTGCGGGGCAAGCTTAGGGCAGGAGTGATGGGTGGGTGCATCTCAGATAAAGGGGAGCATCTGCCCCCCCCTCCTCCCTCCTGAGGTTGGCACACCTGGCACATACTGCTTCATGGAGCCAGCCTTGCTGGGCTGGCTGTGGAGGGTCATCCACACATGGAGTGTCACTCCAGCTCACATGACTCAGTCCTCTTCCCAGTTACTTTCTTTGCCTTCTTTCCCCAGCACCTGTGGTGGGGCGGGGTGCTGATCAGTTGCTGATCTCTCAGCATTGCCCCTGGATGGCAGTTAAATCACCCACCAGCCTGGGATGGGTTTGGATGGAGGTAGGCAGTTGAAGACCTCCATGGTGATGGCATCTGCTCATGTTGCCATTCTCTGCAAAGAAGCGCTCACTCTGGCTGGGCGCAGTTGCTCACACCTGTAATCTTAGCACTCTGGGAGGCCGGGACGTGTGGTTAGCTTGAGCTCAGGAGTTTAAGACCAGCCTGAGTGAGAGTGAGACCTGGTCTCCTAAAATAGCTGGGTGTTGTGGTGGGTTCCTATAGTCCCAGCTACGTCAGAGGCTAAAGCAAGAGGATCACTTTGAGCCCAAGAGTTTGAGGTTGCTGTGAGCTATGATGCTATAGCACTCTACTGAATGCAACAAAGTGAGACTCTGTTTCCAAAGGAAAAAAAAAAGCCCTTGCTCTGCTTCTGTGCCACTCCTGCCTGGCTCCAGGCCCACAAGAGGCAGCTCTTTTGTGTTGCTGCTGCTTTCT